GACTTCATTTCTTTAGGAGAACTTGAAGTTAATTCAAGGGAGATAAGGAAACCTCCATAGCAAGGGTTATACCTGTGGTTCAGGTGGTAGAGCACCAGCCAAGGAGCAAAGCATCACGTACCAAGTTGGAATCTTGTGAGAGAAAAAAAGAAAAGGCTCAGGGACAGCACCCAGGTCCTCAGGACAGGTTTCCCCACCTCACCCCCCACCCAAGAAAAAGCACCTAAAGTAAATCTTAATACTCAGTAAAAATATGGGCATTGGGGCTGGGAAGGTGGTTCAGTGGTAGAGTGCTTGCCTTGCATGCTCGAGGCCCTGGGTTCGATTCCTCAGCACCACATAAACAAAAAGTAAAAAGCCAGAAGTGGCGTGTGGCTCAAGTGGTAGAGCGCTAGCCTTGAGCTGAAGAGCTGAGGGACAGCACCCAGGCCCAGAGTTCAGGCTCCACAACCGGACCCCCCCCCCAAAAAAAAACAAATACTCAGTAAAAAATATGGGCATCTTACGGAATGAATGAATAAGTGGTGGGCTCATCTGATGAGACAATTCTAGGAAATGGGAGAATTCAGTAAGTATCCCCTATTTATAGGTGGGGAGGGTCATGGGTCTTTAACTCAAGGCTTGGGTGCTGTCTCTGAGCTTTTCCGCTCAAGGCTAGCACTCTACCACTTGAGCCACCGGGCTACTTCTGGTTTTCTGGTGGTTAATTGGTGTTAATTCTCTCACAGACTTTCCTGCCTAGTCTGGCTTCAAACCATGATCTTCAGACCACAGCCTCCTGAGTAACTAGGATTACAGTGTGAGCCCCCGGCACCTAAATGATTCCCCCTTGTAAAGTATGTTTCCAGCTGGGTGCTGGTGGTTCACACCTGTAATCCTAGCTACTCCTGAGGCTGAACTCTGAGGATTGTGGTTTAAAGCCAGCCTGGGCAGAAAAGCCCGTGAGACTCTTGTTTCCAATTAAGCACCAGAAAAGCAGAAGTGGCACTGTGGCTCAAGAGGTAGAACACTAGCCTTGAGCAAAGAGCTCAGGGACAGCACCCAGGCCTCATATTCAAGCCCCATGATTGAAAAAAATAAAATAAAATATGTTTCCTAGCTGGGTGCTGGTAGATTATGTCTGTAACTCTAGCTACTCAGCAGACCGAGATCTAAGGATCACAGTGTGAAGCCAACTCAGGCAGGAAACTCTGTGAGACTCTTATCTTCACTTAGCCACCAAAAAGCTAAACCTCAAGTGCTAGTCTTAGGTAAAAATGTTCAAGGACAGCACCTAGGCCCGGAGTTCAAGCTCCAGGACTTGCACCAAAAGATGAATAAGTAAATAATAAAAGTTTCCTGAGAAAGAGCAGAAGCAGATCTTCTGCCTAATAGTATCCGTGTCCTCCATGCCTGTATACCCCACTTCCAATTGGCTGTGTTAGATAAATGGGAAACTGAGGGAACAAGATATCAGAGTAAGACAATGTATATAAATGAACATTTAGTAGTTTGCAATAAAAATCCTGCCTTCACAACAAGATCAGTGTCAGAATGAAATATGGATATTGGGTCTAAGTAACATGCCCTATCCTCACAACCATCCTGGTGCCTTGCTGGATGGTGGGGGCTTTTCACCCAGCTCTGAAAAGCCTACCGGTGAGATAGGCCATTCTTTGAATATGTAGATCTATCATGCTGTTTTAGCCCCAGGAAAGCTTTGCTACAGAAAATGCTTGCTCTTGATTATTCCCCCAGATGATTTGATTTACTTGCCCTTGAGTATTTCCCCAGATTTGATGTACTCAACCCTTAATCTTCCCCTATGTGGCTTGCTTTGCTCACCCGTCAGTATCCCCTATATGGTCTGCTTTTGTGGGCTTGGGTCTTCCCCCCAAACATGTGGTTTTTGCCTTTAAAAGCTTTGTAAAAGCTATTTTCTGGGCTGCTGGTCTTTAAGACAGGAGTCCACCTGCAGTCACCAGCTTTCTAATAGATTCCCAATTGACCTCTCAAAATGTGGCTTCTCTGTATCTTGCAATCAAATTCCCGTATAACAAGAAGACAAAAGCAGGTGGGAGAAATCAGGACAAGCCAAAAGCTCCCTATCATTGACTCAATCTGAGTCTTCTTCACCCAGAGCTTAGTAAATGCTCTGTACTCTGACAGTCATTCTCCTGAACCTCCCTACCTCACACCTGAACATGGAGGGACCATTTCAGATTCTTACCTGGTTCAGGATCTCATTCCAGGCCTAGAGAAAAGAGAAGGAGTTGGAGAAAGCAAAGCAAAGATATTCAGCTCCCAAGAAATTTCTCAAGAAGAGAGAAGTAGCTTTCTGTTCTGTTTCACCTAAAGACCAGTAGGTCTATATTAGTTAAGGCTGCTTCCATTAGGGGATAGGGTATAGCTTAGTTGTAGAGCACTTGCTTGGCATGTCTGAGTCCCTGGGTTCAACCTTCAGCACCACCACCATTTCATCGTGCTGTTTCTTCGTGGCAGGTGATTGATATTATCATTTCATAGTATACACATATATCAAAACATCAAGTTGTATATATTAGTTATATAACTTTTACTTAGATGAAGAAAGAGGAGGAGGAAGAGAAAAAGAGAAACCACTAACAATTACTCTGTATATTATAAAGATGAATCTAGTCACACGTGCCTAGATAAAGAAACCAATCTATCTATTTTCTCAAGACAATTTATAATTCAAGGGTTACCATATTAAACACTGAAAGAAAGAAATATATAAGCCAATGGAATAAAACAAGTAGGAATAAGCGTTTTCTCAAGAACCACAAATGTTGGATATGTATGCCTGAGAGTGTCAGTTGTCCCCAAAACAGAAATTTTTGTTTTGTTTACTTGTTATATTGAGTATTAGAGCACAACCCGAACTGTCTTTTTTTTCTGTTCTCTTTTTTTCTTTGTACAAGTATTGGAGCTTGACCTCAGAGCCTTGTAATTTCCCTTAGCTTTTTCACTCAAGACTAGTGTTCTACCATTTAAACCATAACTCCACTTCTGGTTTTTTACTGGTTAATTGGAGATAACAGTCTCATGATTTGTCTGCCCTCATTGAACCATAATCCTCAGATCTCAGCCTCCTGAGTAGCTAGAATTATAGATGTGAACCACCCACACATGGACATCTCTGAGGCTGTAACTGTAGCAAGTTAAGATGCAATGGATATCTAAAGGTGGGAACTAGAGAAACCTCATTAGGTCTTTGAAGCTGTGTCCTCAAGGGAGTTTGTAGGATCCCAGAGATATCTCTCTCCAGCTTTCTCTCTCTTTCTTTCTCTCTCTGTGTATCTTTCTTGTGTCTGTCTCTGTCTCTCTCTGTCTTGCTCTCTCCCTCTTTTCCCTATCTTTCCTTGTCTCCCTCCTTCTCCCCCACATCACCTTGTCTTCCCTCCTCCTTCTTACCCTTCTCCCCCTACATCTCCCTCTCCCCCAACGCCCCCAATCTACCAAATGGAAGCCAACAGCTGCTAAATGCACTCCTGCCATGTGTGCTGCCATCTATCAGGGCTAACCAATAGGTGAAACTTTGAAGCTCCAATACTAGGAGCTAAATCATCTTTTTATCTCTTTATAAGTTAGTTGCCTCCAGTATTTCAGAGAAAATTTAACTAACAGCCAGTATTATGAGCCTGAGTGCTGACAGCCCTAACTCTGTGTGTGTGTGTGTGTGTGTGTGTGTGTGTGTGTGTGTGTGTGTGTGTACGCGCGCGTGCGCACACGCGCCTTTCCTGGGGCTTGATCTCAGGGTCCAGGTGCTGTCCCTGGGCTTTTTTTGTGGGGAGGGAATGGGGAGGGAGGTTGAAACTGGAACTCCAACTGAGTATCCAACACTTTCACTCATTGGCTGGTACTCTATCACCTGACACACATCTCCAACTCCATCCCTGAGCTTTTTTTGCCCAAGGCTAGCACTCTACCACTTTGAGCCACAAGTCCACTTTCATCTTTCTGTCTTTTTTTTTTAAATAGTAAATCGGAGATAGTTAGGTATTTAACTAGGTAGGTTTAATTAGTAGCTGGTAAAGACAACACCACATGCTTTCAGGCAGGAAGAGAAGTTTATTTTACCAAACTGTTTGCCCCACACACCCCATACAAGGTGGAAAGCACATAGCTGAAAGAAGGGGCGGGCTGAGATCTGACCTGGGTTTCAGGAAGGAAGGAGAGGGGGGAAGGTACATCCAGGTGAGGAAAGTTGTGGCCACACTGAATGCAGATGTGACCTCAGGGTCAGGACTGTGACCAGGGAAGCCCAGGATGTGACCTCCAGGTGTGCCAGTTACTTAGGTGGCACAGGTACTGGGTAGACACTTAGCTAAGAGGAGAGAGGAGCCTGCCTCACTTTCCCAGAGACAAGAGTCTCAAGAACTCTACTGCCAGGCTAACTTCAAACCGGCAATCCTCAGATCTGTCTCCTGAGTAGCTAGGATTACAGGCATGATCCACCAGCGCCCAGCTTGTTAATGTTTTTATCATCTCTCCTATTAGTCCTTTGGGGAGGAGACTTAAAAAAAAAAAACCCTTGAATCTTTCTGCGGTTTCTTAAATGCAAGAGATGAGCAATAAAAGTTGTTTGCACTGAGATAAAAGGCATCAACTGCATCTTCCTATAATAAATTCAGCCTGTTTGTCCAGTAGAGATGGAAGATGGCTCTGACCTATGACCTTTGTGCTTCCCTCCACACATACACACCCTACCTCTTCCTTTTCCCTGTTAGAAGAAAACGTAGCCAGCCACCCCAAATCAGGCCCTTTATTCAAGACACAGGTGGAATCTCTTGCAGTTTTGAACATGCCATCAGGGGCACTGCACTGAGCAAGGGTCTGAAGTTCAGTACACCAGCCTTGAATCTTGGGAGAACAGTCCTCAGGAGACCAGGGGTGTCACTCTAGGGTCCAGGGCTCAGAGACAAATCAGCTTCAGGGGAGGTTGAAAGAGGCAAATGAGGTAGAATTAGGGAGAAGGGGGTCCAGGAGCGAGAAAGAGCCTCAGCTACCAAGTCAGCAGGCGTCTACAACGTCTCACAGCGCCACTGTTCCAGCTTCTCAGAGCACAGTGCTTTGTGGGCCAACCTGATCAGGAAGAGAGGGACAAAGGGAGCTGGATGAACAAGTCTTAGATCAAATTGAGCTTCTTCCAAAGGAGGGATGAGCTAGAAGAGTTTGGATGGGAATTACACAGACTTTCCCAAATAGATGGTAAGGGTTTCTATGCCGTCTAGGGGAGTGGAGAGCAAGGGAAAAAAAATACTCAACAAGCCTGTAGAAAAACATGTGCAATAATATCAAGGACTTGCTTTAAGGTATGGGAGTTGGCCTGGTAAAGAGAGGCCTGGATATCAACCATCCACTAGGTGAGCTCATTTTCTTCTTTTCTTTACTTTCTTTTTTGTTTTATTTCATTTTATTTTTGTGCTGGTCCTGGGGCTTGAACTCAGGGCCTGGGTGCTGTCCCTGAGGGTTTTTTGTTTAAGGCGAGTGCTGTACAACTTGAACTACAGCCCTACTTCTGGCTTTTTGCTGGTTAATTGGAGATAAGGGTCTCAGTGGTTTTTCTGCCCCAGCTGGCTTTAAACCTCAATCCTCAGATTTCAGCCTCTGGAGTAAGTAGGATAAGAGGCATGAGTCACCAGTGCTCAGCCTGAGAGCGCCTTACTAAGAGATTTCTTACACAGGAATATGAAATATAAATATATATAATATATAAACAATAATGATAATTTAATTTTTTAATAGTTAAATATATCATAGAGGGAATTAATAGACCCTTGAGTCAGCTAAATAAGCTTTGTTCTCATGCCTATATAAGATTAAATGGCCGGGAGGGAGAGGGAGAGGAATGTGGAAATGGGCCAAAGAGGTAAGGGGAAGGAGAATAGGGAATGTAGACAATGAGGACTTACCAGTAATCAATTCCTTTGATATCCAGAATCTTCTGGACACATTTCACGTCGTCAGTGAGGTTATCATCCAGGAGACCTGGCAGGAGATACAAGGAAAGGAAATGAGAGAATTAAGACAGATTATCCAGAAAGATAATGAGGTTCCCTATTTTCTGAATATAGTAGGCCTGGATCTTTCCATATGAAATGGCAAATAATAGTAACAGTTCTCCAGAGTAAGGATTTTTCTTTACTTCTGAGGGACACCACTAGAAGAGCCATCATCTTCATCACATGATACTCAGATAATGCAAAGTAGCAGACTTTGACACTCTCAGAGAGCTTGGGTTACCTAGGCCTATGATAGTTGATGGTCATGAAAACTCCCAAGTTTTTTAGTACAAATCACAGTTTTTGTGGCAGTGAAGCCAAGGTGTGCTTGGTGCCAATAGGGACATTATCCCCCAGGAAGACTGCAGAAAAACAGAAAAACAGCATGAAAAAGGCTACTCACTCTCACAGGTGATGTTACAGATGTTCCTTGATTGAGGGATCTGGTGACTCTTACACCAAAAGTTATTACTGATTTGGAAGAGTCCATACTCTGTGCTGCCATTGTTTTTTATTATGGTTTGTGTGTCAAATCCACTGGTATGAAATATAATACAGGCCCCTGAGGGAAATATGACAAAAAGATATCACAGAGATGTCTAAGATTTGTATAAATAATGAACTACAGTTTCTAGACAGGAAAAAAAATGGTTTTCTAGTCAGTCTCCAAAGATAGTAAAAAAACATAGAGAATCTTGATGAGATGGGTAGAAACCTAAAGAGGATCAGATGATCAGAGAGAGGAAGGGAAAGCAAATTGTATAAGAGATCAAGACTTCATTGTAGTTATTATTGTTGAATAGCAACTCCTTTGTGCAGCCATTTAGAGATACAAATAAATTTTTTAAAAAATAAACCCATCCTCAAAGGTGAGGAAATGTTGTAATTATATTCAATGTACAGCATGCAAAAATCAAACTACTTAACTTGATAGGGACAAGAGGGAGAAAGGGGGAAGGAAAATGATGGAAGGGGTGACACTGATCAAGATGCATTGTATTCATAACCTGACGTATGGAATTGTACCCTCTTTGTACAACTACCTAATAACAAAATTTTAAAAGAGAGAGAAAGAGAAACAATCCAAGGCTATGAGAAAACCATGAGTGAATTATGCAGAAGTGGAGGAGAGAAGATGAGAAGGAAATAAGAGAAAGGAAAAACAGATGAGAAATGGGCAAAACAGGGGAGTTGGGAACTCACATTCAGGCAAAGTGATACCGCCATAACCATCCAAGTCCTTCAGCACCCAGGGGATCTCACATTTTGTCAGTTGCTTGGCCTGTATGGCAGGAAACAAGATGCTCACCAGAAACAGAAGAACAAAAGACATCATTTTGACTTCCCCAAGAACTTGAAATGGGGGCACCAGTAAGCTTCACCTCCTTTTATCCGTGGAGTCTCAGGAGTCCTTGCATCAAGCTTTATGTCTAGGAAGAGGATGTAGAAAGATTAGTCATGCCAAGACAAAAGCACTGAACTTGCCAGCTTCCTCCCATCATTTCGCCTTATTTTTTTCCTCCCCTGTTCCCAATATCTAATCAACACTAAGTATTGTTCTCAGCCCATAGAGAATCTATGTATGACCTACATTTCCCATTTCATTTTATTTATATCTTTGTTTCTTGTAGGGTTAGTTTTAGGAACCAGGATGTCTGAAACCTACTTTAGAAACAAAGAGTGGTTTAGGGGAAGTACAAGTGAGGCAATCAGTAAACGGCAAAGGGGCTGGGAATGTGGCTCAGTGGTAGAGTGCTTGGCTAGTGTGCATGAAGCCCTGGGTTCAATTCCTCGGTACCACATACACAGAAAGAGCTGGAAATGGTGCTGTGGCTCAAGTGGTAGAGTGATAGTCTTGAGCAAAAGAAGCTCAGAGAGGGCTGGGAAAGTGGCTCAGTGGTAGAGCGCTTGCCTTGCATGCCTGAGGCCCTGGGTTCGACTCCTCAGCACCACCTAAGCAAAAAGAAAAAAGCTAGAAGTGGTGCTGTGGCTCAAGTGGTAGAGCGCTAGCCTTGAGCTGAAGAGCTGAGGGACAGCACCCAGGCCCAGAGTTCAGGCCCCACAACTGGACCCAAAAAAATACAGTAAGAATTCACAGTCAACTCTCTTCTCCCTAAAGACGTACAGAAGATGGGTAATGTGGTGTATGTATGTCATCACTGCCCATGATCAGATTTTGAATTTGTCTGGCCAGCAGAGCCATGAAACAAAGTCTATGAAGAGTCCTTTGGTATGGTGGTTCATGGCTAGAGACTGAGAAACAGGGGACATAGTCTGAGAATCAACCACAACTGGGATCCCAAGACTTCCTATTTGGAAACATGGGTCATTTGGCTGAGTGCCAGTAGTCCATACCTGCAATCCCAGCTACTCAGGGGCCTGAGATGTGAGGATCATGGTTCATAGGCCTGGGCAGCAAAGTCTGTGAGACTCATCTCCAATTAACAAACAAAAAATAACCCAAAATGGAGGTGTGACTCCAGTGTAGAGCACTAGCCCTGAGCACAAAAGCTTAGGGACAGGACCTAGGCTCTGAGATCAAGCCCCAGGATCAGCATCTTACCAAAAAAAAAAAAAGACAGGTAATGTAAAAAGCACATTGAAAATATTTAGCTATCCTATGAGCTATTAGCAGATTCTCCAACCCCTCCAACTACTACATATAAGTAGACACTGTGTTGTCATTTAGACTCAATTTAAATCCAACATTAGTAACTTGTAATTAATTTGTTCATCAGTAAATAAATGTGTGAATTGGCCACAGAAAGTTAGAAAGAAGGACAGCTAGAAAAGGGAAAAGGTCTCCTGGCCTGGGCAATGGACTAATAGAGTAATATGATTGTCCAGGGTCTTAGAAATAACAGGGCAAGTCATGACCTCATGCTTACCTATAATTTGATTGTATCTCTGCCCTTCCCTGTAAGCAATAAAAAGCAACATGCAGGCCAAGACTCATAGCTAAGTCCAGAAGAGAAAATAAATTGCCTCAGGTGAGAGGAGCCATTATTTCTGCAGAAATGTTTGTAAAATGGGGTATCATGGTCATCTGGAACAATTCCAAATATTCAGGGAAAGGTATAGAGATTTGGAGATGGCCCAAAGAAGAACAAGAAACAATGGCCACAGCACTGAAAGAGGAAGTGTTGGGAAAGACATAAGCACAGCTAATAGAGGAAAAGTTGCTGCCCACACTTCCCTTGTCAGATGGCGCTCATCACCGTGCTCCACATGGAGGCTTACATCTGAATCAAACCAAACTCCCCAAGAATCAATAACCCAATTAATAAATTGGAGAAAGAGTCACATAGACACTTCTCAGAGAAAGAAATACAAATGTCCAATAAATACATGAAGAAATGTTCAATGTCCCTAGCCATGAAAACGCAAATCAAAACATTACATTCTATTTTACTGCAGTCAAAATGGCCATCATCAAAAATATGAGCAACAAATGTTGGCAAGGGATGTGGGGGAACAAAGAGCCCTAATACATTGTGGGTAGGAATATAAAGCAATGTAATCATTATGGAAGGCAATTTGGTGACTTCTCACAAAATTAAACATAGAGCTACCCTATGGTCCAGCAATGCTACTCTTTGACATTTATCCAATAAAGACATTTGCACACCCATATTCATTGCTGCAATAGTCACCATTGTCAACTTATGAAAATGGCCCTGGAGCCCTACAATACACAAATGGATAAAGAAAACGTGAGATAGATAGAAAGACAGACAGACAGACAGACAGACAGACAGACAGACAGACAGACAGACAGACAGACAGACAGACAGACAGATAGATAGATAGATAGATAGATAGATAGATAGATAGATAGATAGATATGAATGAGAATATATTATTCATCTATCAGGAAAAATAACATTGTATCAATTGAAGAGAAATGGATGGACCTGAAAAAAATTATGTCGAATGAAGTCAGGTTCAGAGAGACAGAGAACACGTTTTCTCTCAAATGTGGAAGGTAAAAGATCTAAAATATAAACATATATAAAAACATATATAGGGCCACATAAATACTCAACTTGACTAAAGTATGGTATACACAGAAGTAGATTGGTGTAATTCCTATAAACCATTAACAGGCATTTTATCAGTGAACACCAGGAAGCTGAAACATGTTTTTATCTGAGGAAGGGGTGGGGCTTGCTGAGAGGAGGGATTAATGAAGAGAGGAATGGTGGGTAAATACATTCATAATATACAATGCACATATATGAAACTAGAAACTGAGGGGATGAGTGATGTAGGGGTAGATTGGGAGGGAGAAGGATGCAGATGCATTGTAGTCATAAATTGAGGTGCTGAATTAAAACCTCTTTGTATTAAAAGATAATAAACAATAAATTTTTTAAAAATGGAAAGAGTTTGGGAACTGGTGGCTCATGCCTATAATACTAGCCACTCAGGAGGCTGAGATCTGAGGATGACAGTTCAAAGCCATCCTGAGCAGAAAAGTTCTTGTGAACTTGGAAAAAATTATATTAAATGAAGAAAGCCAGGCCCAAAGAAACATAGGTCCCATGGTTTCCCTTATTTGCAATAACTAGTTTATGTCTAGGACAAGCAGAAAAGGTCAAAAGCTATATATATATGACCATATAAGATGATGCTAATCAAAATGAACCCCAAGATAGGGACACAAGAGGTTTTATTTTTCTTGCTGTTGTTTTTAATGTACTATGTGATTTTGTTTCTTTTGTATGTTCTTCCCCCATGGTATAATCCCTGTTTTCAGTGTATGTGATTCTGGTGCCCTGCATCTTGTATATACATTCTTCTAATTTGGGAGGGGAAGGGAAATAACAAAATTCTTAAATAAGGATACAGGTTGACCCATTGTAACAATGAGATGTACAAGACACTATGTTGAAAATGAACTTTACAATTTTGGGGGAGGGAGGAGTTGGGGGGCGGGGAAAGGAAGGGATGGTAGGGGAAAAAAAAGGAAGGGGTAACAATGCTCAATAGGAAATGTACTCATTACATTACTCATGTAACTAACCCCTCTGTACAGTACCTTTACTATATATTTATATGTATATATGTATATATATGTATGTGTATATATATATATATATATAATAAAAGAAAAGTCCTTGTGAGACTCATCTCCAATTAACCACTCAAAAACCAGAAGTGGCACTATGGCTCAAATGGTAACACAAGTAGCTAGCTTGAATGGTAGAGCACTAGCCTTGATCAATAACAGCTCAGGGACAGTGCCCAGGCTCTGAGTTCAAGCCTTGCACACACACACACACACACACACACACACACACACTTTAAAAAAGGGACAGTAGTTACCTATGGGAATGGAGTTGCTGTCCAGAATTGACCTTCTGAAGGTCTGGCTGAATTCTATTTATTGGACTGAGTGTTGTTACAGAGGGGTTCAATTTATAACTTTTCATTAAATAGTACATTTATATTTTACATTCAATTCTATATTTCGCATCCATGTATATGTTAATCCTTCTTTAGGGTTAGTTTCTGGGGATTTTATTTGTTCCTTTGAATAGGTTCTGCTTTGCTGTTTCTTTGTATGTTATTATTTTAAGCTTGCAGTTCAGCATTTGAAAACCAATGATCACTCCTAATGTTTGATGGAGGTTTCATACTGAGAGAATTTCTCTATGCAGCCTCACTAGAGAATCTGGATTTCTCTCAACCCATTTTTTAATTCATCTTGGCTAGTTGTACCTGCAACCTCTTAATTGAAGACCAGCTCCTGCTGGCTCCGGAGCTCTTCCTTGTCTTCCTCTAGATACTGCAGTCTCTGGTACTTTAGAAAACAATGGTCTGGAGTTCCACCAAGTGTCAGGCTGTGGTACTACAAATCTGATCTGGACCAAGCCACATTGTTTTCTATTTGTTCATAATCACCGGCAACCTATACCTTATGTCTGTTCTTGTCAGCCCTTAGATTCAGACAATCTAGAAACTAGACCCTGAGCACTACTCCAAAATAAATGAAAAGGACTGGGATGTAGCTCAGTGGCAAAGCACTTGCCTAGCAAGCGCAACATCCTGAGTTTGATACCCAGTACCAAAAAAGAAGATATATATACACATATACAAAATTATACATATATGTATATATAGCTTAAAAAAAACAAATAAAATCCAGTATATCAACTTCATTCCTCCCCTTCCCAGAAAGAAGTTAATTAGCAGATAAATGCTGCTAATTTTCCTATTTGGCTTTAATGAGATTGATTTCATGCTACCTTTGGGTAGGAGAAATGCTTAACTTAGTTCTGGATCTTTCAAAGTGTATATGATATTAAATCTGTGATTACATGGTGAATGGGA